AAATAAAAATTAAATTAAAAAAAAATTAAAAAATTAAAAAAATAAAATAAAATTTTTCGTATTTCAAGAAGATAAACATTTTTACAAAGATGAAAATCTAACCCTCCCTATCATGATAACATCGAGATGTTCTACATAAAAGAGATTTAAGAATCAAACTGTGTCATTATTAAAATCGCTGTAGGGATTTGTACAAATATTTTCTCAAGTAAGTTAGGATAAAATAAAAACAAAATTCGGTATGTTTATATTTAATTCAACTTGATTATTACAATTATTTTTGTTATAATTATTTATAATTTTTATAAATATTTTTGGTACTTACGTATTAACGGTACCTTGGCGACAGTTGCACCAATAAAGTGCAAACGCGCCAACCGCAGCTACAGATTTGGCGGTGTTTAAGTGGCGCCAATCTACACTTAAAATTTTTGTTCCAAATAATAAAATATATATGAAACACTGCATTTAAAATCAAAACGCTTTCAAAATATTTTTATTCTAAATAATAAAATATATAAAACACTTCATTTAAAATCAAAAGATTTCAAAACTCAAAACACTGTATTTAAACACAAATATTCACGCATGTAATTGTTCCAATCTATAACAGTTTTATCCGATAGATCAAGTTGCTTTTCACAAAATTTAATCGACGTCTACTCCTCGCACCAGCAGTATATGAATCTCAAAGCTGTACAAAAAGGAATTCTGCTTCCCTCAAACCAGTTGTCTTTTCTAAGTCCCATACGATGAGCACACTGACTGAAATTGCATTTCCAAAACTTACGTTCACCAAAATAAAGTTTCATGTCATGGGAATTGGGACATTTTCGTTATTTTGGTAAAATATTTCGCTCCTGAAAAAATAAAATTGCATCTTGTTCTGTTTCTGGCGAATCCCAAATACGCATTTTCGTAGCACTATAAAATGGCGTCAAAACTCAGCAAATCTGCAGCCGTTATATTGGCGGCACTTAAAAACCGCCAAATCTGTAGCTGTCAAATTGGCGACACTTAAAAACCGCCAAGTCTGTCGCCAAGGTACCGTTAATACGTAATTTAATTCAACTTGATTATTACAATTATTTTTGTTATAATTATTTATAATTTTTATAAATATTTTTTTTTATTTAATAAAGAATTCTTTCTATGGTCTTTCTTTAAAAGAATCTGGCGTAGAAACAAAAATGCAAAGAATTTGTGGTATCAAACAGATTAGAGCAAATAACCAGTTATCATGGAAGAAATTTTATCACATACGGAAAATTCCGTTTTTATGTTTAATAAGACAATTTATATTTAATCTGCCTACTAACATGAAAAATAAAATCGTGCTGAAAATATAAGAATCTATAATAGATCTATTCACTTATCATATTTAAAGATTTCATGTTTGAAACACGTCTCTCTTTTCAATTTTCCCCTTTTTTTATTCAACGATATTTATAAAATAAAAGAAAGAAAAAACTAAAGCACTTTGAAATTATAATAAATAAAGAGTTTTAGTTCTGTGCGTATGTTTTACAATCGTGTGATCATACTGTAACAGATAACGAATATTTTCTGAATCTCTAAATATGCAAAGGCATTACAATGTTTCAATTTGTTGACGTGCAGTGCAAATTTATTATCAGTTCTTTTCATAAGAAAAATTCCCCGCGTAAAATGTTAAGAAAGAGAGATTAATAATCATTGAATTCAGACAGCATACACTGCGTAGGAGACAGAACAAAATTTTTAATGGGTCTATGATACAGCTGCACAATTTAAACCAGCTGCATATGAGATCGATAATGAAATACAAAACACAAAGAAGTTAGTTTATGTTCTTATTATGATAACAATAGATCATAATGTTTACAAAGAAAAAGATAGCAAGGATATAAAATTTTCGACATTTATATAAGTTATACATATGATTATATGCAACACAATTTAAATCATTATTATTTCAAAATTATGCAAAAGTTGTAAATGACAAATATACAATAATTTTAACATGATTACTAGTTCTTCTGCAATTTATTAATATTTTGTTTACATTATGACTTTACATTGCATTATTTGTTTCTGTTATATAATTTAATATTGAATTCATAATGAAATTGTTTACTTAATTATAATTTAATGCACCGTTTTCATTAATTAATTTTGCATTCTTTGTATTTTAAATTAATTTTTAATTGTATTTTTTTTAACTTAACGCTTACTTTTGGTTAAGCATTTTCTTATTTAATATTTTGCTATACAATATTAATTTTAAGTTAATTTCATTTGTTGACATTTTTCTTTAGATTCTAATAACATTACTACTGAAATATAAATTTTTAAAGATATTTTATTTTTAAAAATTTGCAAAAAAACAACAGAAATTTCTACAAATATACAATAATTTTAACACGATTACTATGATCAATATTTTTGAAAATTGAAAAAATTTAGTGCAAAATAAATCAAACTAAGAATCCTGAGAAGTGTTATAACATTAAAAAAAATATTTTACTTAAATTCATAAACAAATGGTGCTTAATTTTACTTTGAAATTTCAGGGGGTTTTTTTTTCTGATTATCAAAAAATTCATTTTATTAATAATTTTAATTTATTTTATTTTTATATTTTATTAATAATATTCTTATTTAAATTATTTATATTTTAATTGTAATGCTATTAAAATCTAAAGAAAAATGTCAACAAATGTAATTAACTTAAAATTAATGTTATGTAACATGTAATAGCCAAAATATAACAAAAATACTTGAAATTAAACATAAAGTTAAAATAATACAATTTAAAATTAATTTAAAACACAAAGCATACAAAATTAATCAATCAAAATACAACATTAAATTATAATTAAGAAAACAATTTCTTTATAAATTCAATATTAAATTATATAATAGAAACTAATAATGCAATGTGAAGTCACAATGTAACCAAAATAATAATAAATTGAAGAAGCATATATTTTAATAAAATACATAAATAAAAGATATCATATTATTAACTGTACTAATAATGCTACTGACAGCTATAATTACAATTTTGCTCTCAATGATTAAATAGAATTAAATTAAATTATGATAAATTGTTTTTTGCATCTGTTACAATGAAGCTGTTTCTATAGTTTTCCATTCAAATTTTATTATTTTCCTTTGCAAGTAATAATTATTTAATTGTATTTTCAATTATTAAATACGCTATAATTAAATTATGATAAATATAATTAGTTTTGAGAGTACTTCAATCAATTTTAATGTCACGCATATAAATTTCTTTAATTTATTATTTTTCCTTGTCATTTATAAATTACCGTTGAAGATAATTTATATCTAAATAATTAGTGCCCTGTAATAATATAGAAAATAATTATAATGTTTCAAAAGCATGTTAATACTTATTATAAAGATTAGATTTATTTGGAAACACTAATACAGTTCAATTACAAAAACTAGAAAAAAAAATCATTTTAATATTCCTAATGTTGTTCCATACTTTATAATTCTGCTATTAATATTCAACTTATCTACCAAACAACAAGATATATAAGTAAAAAGGTGAATATATATAAACTTTTAAAATTTATATTTATGTAATACATTTCTTATTAGAAATGATGAAAATGAATAGAAATGATGAAAATGAATAGAAATGATGAAATGATAAAGAATAAATTTTTAAATGTTTTAGATTGTGCAATTATTTTTACTATGCAACTTATACGACCAATCAAATTGCGTGAAGAAAAAAATTATCCAAAGTTATTGATACAATAAAAATTATTATATACTACATAATTATTATATTTACATAAAAATTATTATATTACAAAAAAATTACATAAATTAAAATAAATTGTTGTTTAGAATCTAATGGTTAATATTAATGGTTAAGTGAATAACCAGCAATATTTTATATTATTTTATCATAGTGTAAATAATTTTTCATATTATATTATTTTTATGATTAGATTTGGATAATTCAAATTCATAACAACAGATCAAATAACCAATACCTCAAAGCAAAAACAAAATTCAAATCATTGTAACGATTTCAAAACCTTGAAATTAGTGATAATACTAAATTTGACACATAATTTTAATGAAATTAAATTTCAAATAATATTTGTAAAACTACTTTTAAAAAGAAATCATTCAGAAAAAATTAAAAACTTTCACTATTCAAATGTAAAAAAAAAAAAAAAAAATATTTTGCCTTTACATATTTAATTTATTTTTGAAAGATTTATTTATATTGAAAAAGATAATAATATTGCTAGAAAATCATATGAATTGTAATGAGCATTAAAAATCTTTAAAATAATAAGCATTTTGGTAACAGTCCTTCCAACAGATGGCAGCACACAATATTTACTTCAGGTAATAATTTTTTAATGTATTTCATTCTATAATATATTTTTTTTTCTTCATTTTAAATAACTATATTTTTTATATAGCTCGAAACTTTAATAAAATTAAACTTTTTTTCTTCTAATAAAATTTATTTTTTCTTTATAAAAATAACATCTTTTACTTGCAATCCATTATTATTATTATTATTATTATTATTTTACTCTTAAAAATATGATTTAAAGTAAAATTAACTTTTTAAATATGTTACATCCAATTTGGACAAATTAAAATTATTTTAAAATATACAAAAAGTTAAAAAAAGAAAAAAAATTGAAAAATCATAATTTATAATGCATAATTTATTGTGTGTTGTTTCTTATCCCACTTGGCTGGCCAAGCCCACGAGCCCCTACGTACTCATGATTGAAGGAGAAGGAAGCAGCTTCTGTTGTGATGGAGCACCCGTAGGTAGAAGCCTGACTTTGGCTCCGTGACGCTCTTACAGTCATAGGAGACCGGGACCTACGGCTTAAAGTGGATTCCGAACCACTACAAACATCCATGGCACCGCCGGGATTCGAACCCGAAACCTGTGGCACTGAGCGCCAGAGCGCTAGGCCCTCGGCCATTCAGGTCCCAAATTTGCCAACGGCACGTGGTGTTCCCAGGTGGTCACCCACCCAAGTACTGACCGCGCCCAATGATGCTTGACTTCGGTGATCTAAAATGCATAATTTATAATGAGGGTAACTCTGAAATTTTTGATACAGTGGCAGACGACAAACGCAGGGAAAAAAATATTCGTTAAATTTGTAAATTTGAACTCTTTTATGGCGATAATTTGTGGCAACAATTGCAATTTAGCTGTCGTAGAATAGATTTTGGATGAAAGGAAAATCGAATTGACGCGAGAGCATTATCGCATTATGATTTTCTATGATTTTAAAATGGGGTTAAATCAAGAAGAATGCCTTCGAAGTCTACAACTAGCATATGGAGACGAAGCTCCATCTCGTGCTACTGTATTTAGATGGTTTACAGAATTTCGTAGCTGTCGAAGTTCTCTACTGGATCAAGAACACACAAGAAGACCTTCATCAGCTGTAGTTCCAGTAAATGTGTTGGCCGTACGAAAAATGTTAGTCGATGATAATCGCTGCACTTACCAAATGATACAGAAGAAACTTAACATTAGATGCGCAGCTATACATAGAATTATTTATTAAGAACTGCATATGAAAAAATTAGTTTGTCGTTGGGTCCCCATAATTTAACAAAACACCGAAAAATGAAGCGTGTTAGAATCTGCAAAGAAACCATAAAATTACTTAACGATGGTGGACACCGCCTTATTTCTCAAATCATAACTGGTAATGAAACTTACATACCATTTTTTGACGTTCTAACAAGACAAGAAAGTAAAGTAAGGGTCTTTGAAGATGACCCCAAACCTTTTGCAAGAAGTGAATCACAGGGGACTCATGCTTCACCATGATAATGCATCTTCTCATACGGCAAGATCGACAGTCGAATTTCTTAAGCAAAAACACATCAAAATGATAGACCATCCGCCCTATTCCCCTGATCTTGCTATGAGTGACTTTTGGCATTTTTGTAATCTCGTTTTCATTCCGAAGATGAGATTGATGAGGCTGTAAAAACATATTTTTCATCCATTCCAAGAAATGGATGGCTTGAAGCATTTAATCTTTGAAAAAATCGTCTGCAAAAGTGCATTGATATTGGAGGGGACTACTTTGAGCACTCTTGAAATTTGGTAAGTTAAACTTGTACCATTTAGCCGTATCTCACAAATTCCAGAGTGACCCTCGTATATATATATATATATATATTATGTTAATAGGAACGATGTAATAAAAAGTACCCAAATGGCAAATGAGATAGAAATGTTACACTTCAGTAAACATTTAAATGACCACACATATAAAATACCTACAAACGGGAAAAAATTTTACTAAAAAACTATTTCATCGTGAATAATTTTCTCAAAAGTGTAGGTTTTTTTTTTTTTTTAAATTTCTCTAAATGTTTTTTTTAGCAAAATAATCCATAAACAAAAGTTCTATACATAATACGATTATTCGTTATAGTGTGTTTATCTAATTTTTATATACATTAATTTTCTCTAAATGTACAATAAGACATCACTGAATGAAAGAAATTCAACTACTTAAACAATAGCATTTAATTAAATTTGGTTGAAAATTTAAAAAATATATATTTTTTTTATTCTACACATAAATTTAAATTTTAATTTAGTAAAAATGCTTTGAAATAATTAAGAAAATCTCTCTAATATTGTACCTTTTCAGATATTTAATTATTTGTTATAAAATTTCAATTACTGACTAATATTTAGAAATGTACTGTGTTTTAAAGACAATTGAGCTTTCAATGTTAAATTAACAATTGATTTTGTTTAACAACGATTGGTTTAAATTAACAATATTTAGAAATGTACTGTATTTTAAAGACCAATGAGCTTTCAATGTTAAATTAACAATTGCTTTTTTTGTAAAAAGGAATTGAATCCTATTTTAGACAGCTCAAAAAGGGAAATCAGAATTAAAAATATTGCTTAAAAAATCGTATAACCAATTAGAGAAATATTTAAAAAAATAAATCTATAAGTAAATCCACATAAAATTAATTATTTCGTTTTGACTAACAAAATAATAATAGAAATCTCATTCTGCCACCATGTTAAACGAACTCAAATGAACTAGACAAATGAAGCCCTTCAGTTCATATTGAAGTACGAGAGAACTGATTTCGTAAGCTTCTACTTCTCAATGAAACGTAAATCAATAAAGATAAATTAAACAAACCAGCTAAATCCCTTTAGCAGAAATGAAAACTAAAATGTACACTTACATTTAGTTAAGGTAGAGGTAATGGAACTATTTAAAAAAAGGTTTACTAATGATACAGATAATATCATAAAGCAAGAATTTAATTAATATTCTCGAACATTTTTGATTAAATTTTGAATACAGAGAATGGATTTTGTAAGCTTCTACTATTAATTTAAATCAATAAAGGTAAATTAAACAAATCAACTAAATCCCTTTAGCAAAAATGAAAACTAAAATGTATAGTACACTTACATTTAGTTTAGGTAGAGGCAATGAAATAATTAAAAAAAAAAAGGTTTACTAATGATATAATATAATAAAGTTAGAATTTAATTAATATTCTTGATCTTAATTAATATCCTTATAATCACTTGTTTATGCAATAAATAACATCAATAGCGTTTAAAAAATAGAAGTAAATAAACATTCAGGATATTCAAATATTCAAAAATAAATATATATTCTTAATCTTTTTAAATTAATATCCTTATAAACATTTATTTATCTATCAAATGACACCAATAGAGTTTAAAAAATTCAAAAATAAATAAACATTTTAAGATAATTATTATTTTAAAATCATATGTCAAGATAACAGGTACTAATAGTGCAACAGCTGTCAAATTTATACACGTGTCTTTTGAAGGTTAGGGCTAACTAAAAATCATATGGATTTAATACTAGTAGCGCCATCTATGTGTCAGCCTATGAACTTTTCAGCCCACTTGTTACCTATAGAACATATTGCTATATTGTGAAAAAACATGCTGTTTAAAGTCTTTATCTTTTAATTCGTAAAAAAAAAGTATACATATATTATTATATTATACAGATTGGTATTACTATATATAGATAATTATTTAAATTAATCCTTTAAGTAATAATAGATGGTAAATATACATTTAATGGCCAATATTCTTTTCCAATTTAAGATGGCCATAACTGAAATAAAAAGAAACTATGAAAACAAATAGATTTTAACGCATTTGTATAAGAATGTTCAGAAAAGAGCCAATAATATTGAAAAGTTAAGTTATTATATTTATATTTGAATATAAGAAGTTAATTTTTATTTGCTTTTATTTAACTAAAAAAAAAAATCAATATTAACATTTCTATACTGTTGGCTGGGAAAATATGGCTCCAAAGGACAGTGCACTTTATATAAAATTTCCAATTACATATTTAATTTTATTTTTCTGATACCCGTACATTGCCGCGAGTTCGGCCCTGCGCTGCGTGTGATTACAATGCCTAATTGAAAATCTGAACCTTGTAACGAATCTTGCCGAATTGAAAATCACTTGATGGTCAATTTCACAACCGCTCACATCAGTATTGTGTTACATCGCGTCAATGACCAACCATATTCAGTACAAATAACAACATTGTGACGTTTAGAAAAATAAAACATTATGTTATTAATATAGCTTTATTAACTTCTTTAAAAGTACGTTTATTATTTAAGTACTTCTCTATTCGTTATTTAAATAATTGCATTCCAACTAATAGACAACATGACAAATGAAAACAACAAAAAAAAAAAAAAAAAAAAAAAAAAAAAAAATACGATAAAGAAAACAGATGCTTTCGTAGAAAATGGGAGAAAAATTTCATATTTATCGCATAAAATCGCAATTCTTTACATCATATTTTAAAAGCTACAATCGCAAATAATAAAAGTAAATGTTAAGCAACATTAATATTTGCAAATATTAAGCAACTTATGCAGACATTACGAAGTAGCTCGTCTACACTGTACCACTCAGAATCCACTGAATTCAAAATTACATAGTTCCGAACTGATCGCCATCGAGAGAGGTTTGATTCGTGAATATATGGATTCTTACAGGCAGCCAGGGCCGGATTTAGATGCAAAGAGGCCCCAGGCTATTCCACTTATGATTATTGCAAATTACATGAGATATAATAAAATACATCATTACTGTGATATATATCAATATGTTACACGAAACATGTTGTGATTGGTACTAATCTTTATAAAAAATATTGCACAGATTATAAATAAAAAAATAAAACTTATTTGGACATTTATTCTCGGCATGATATATAGTAATCAATAACTAATCAAACATATGAGTAGAATTTCTCGTTATTTTTGATTCAGTGTTTTAGTATTTTTTGTAATTTTAATTTTGTGTAATTCTAATTTTGCTAACTGTATTCTAATTTGTATGTAGGACCCTCTCGATCTTGAGGCCCTAGGCTGAAGCCTAGTTAGCCTATAGGAAAATCCGACCCGATCAGCCGATCATCAGTTCAACATTTTAGTTACTGGACAAACGATGGAGATAGGACTGGCATTACCTTCCAGAAATTGTTTTTTAGACTTTCAGTTAATTCCGAGGCGCACATCCAATGGATTTCTTCACATGTGGACATTAATGACAACGGGATTTCAGATTCACTAGCAAAAGTTGCTTCTTCGGAGACTTCCAATTACGATATACTTTGGACTTATAGTGAGGCTAGAGTAGTGATTATCATCCCTAGTTCAAAAGTTTTTTTTTAAAAATTTAAAGAGGAAATCGTCAAATGAGTTATCATTTACTATGTTGTAATATAGTTATCAGTTTACAATGTTTGGAGCTGGTCCATTGAATTACTCATTCCATATCTAGAAAACCATACCTATAACTGAAAGATGAAAAATTACTTCAAGATTTAATGTGTCTGACTGACACCATACAACACTTACAAACTCTCAATTTGGAATTGCAAGGAAAAGAAAAAAAAACAATAAATGATTTGTCTCAAACTGTATTTAATTTTCAATTAAAAATTCGACTTTTTCAAAATAATGAATCAGAAATATTTTAACATTTTCC